AACTGTTGAAGTGTGTAATGATGGAGCATGGACTAGTATTTGTGATAGTGGCTGGGGATATCAAGAAGCATTTGTAGTGTGTAGACAATTAGGTCTACCAGCAACAGGTACAGTGGATTATAATGATCTCATGAGGTTTACACACTATGCACATATTTATAGATGCACAATCTGTTTATTATTATAATTCTTTTGGATATGGACATGGAATACCAACATTGTACAACTGGAGATGCATTGGGAATGAGTCAAGTTTGAATGATTGCTTAAAGTCTACATCAAGCTGTTACTATAGTTATCGTAGTGTGTACAGGATATCTGGAGTTAGTTGTAAAGGAAGCATTGTACCAGGTATAATAGTCTATTTAGAGGCTTTGATTTAAACATAAAATTAAAACACAGGAAATTGTTCTACTGGCAGTATGCGTCTTGTTGGTCCTAATGGTCCTAATAAAGTGGAAGGGAGAGTAGAGTATTGCAGTAATGGAGTGTGGGGTACTGTTAGTAGATATGGATTTGATGTTAGAGATGCTCATGTAGTATGCAGAAGACTTGGTCATCAGACACCACGTATGATAGACTATTATCTAATTCTTTATTATTACATTGTCTCATTGACTGCAGGAGCTTTGATAATTTGGAATGCTTACTTTGGTCAAGGATCTGGTCCAGTAGTGTTTTATTATTTAGGATGTACTGGAAGTGAAGATAGATTAGAACATTGTACTTACTCATCAAGTCCATATTATCTTAGCCACGCAACTGATGTTGGTGTGAAATGTTCAGAGAGAGGTTAATTTAATTTCTGCTACTGATAATGCACATTTCCATTATAGTATTAACTGACTGTATTAATGGTAGTGTTAGATTGGTTAATGGTACTACACCAGATGAAGGAAGAGTGGAAGTTTGCATCAATGGAGAATGGGGAGCTGTTTGTGGTCGGTACTGGGATAGAAGTGAAACTAAAGTTGTTTGTAAGCAGCTTGGATACAGCCAAGATGCAGTTGGTATAATCTACTGTTATAAATAACAAAATAACGTTGCAATGATAATCTTTACTTTTAGAGGGATCAGTGTTTAGATATTCTAAATTTGGGGATGGAGATTATCAACAAATTTTATGGAATATTCAGTGTACTGGATCAGAGACTAGCTTGACATCTTGTAGTAATTACCATAATGATAATTGCTATTATGGACGCACTGTTGGCATCAAATGTTACAGTAAGGGATCCACTTTATTAAATTACAAAATAATTATTGTGCAGATACAACTAATTGCACTCATGGTGAAATCAAGTTGTATGGGGGACAGTCTAATGCTGAAGGAGATTTATTAATTTGTTTTAATGGAGTGTGGATTTTTGTGTGTGATTGGTGGTCAATTTTACCAAATGTTGTGTGCAGACAGTTGGGTTATCAAGATAACAACTGTAAGTCTATTAGATAAAGATTATGTAACAACTTTTATCATTAAAGGGGCTTCATATTCATATAATTCATTGTTTGGTTCAAATAACAATGTTGCTCCAATGGTGGTAGTTCGATTTTCATGCAGTGGAAATGAAAATTCACTAGATTATTGCTCCAATAATACTTACAATTATCACTGTGATACAGCATTTGGATTTATATGTTCAAGTAAATTTGATATGATATTCAATGAATATATCTATAATTATTGCTGCAGGTGTAGTAAATTGTAGCAATGGAACAATTCGCTTAACTGATGGAGGAGGAGATAATGAAGGAAGAGTAGAGATATGTACTGATGGTATATGGATGACAATTGATGCAAGATACTACTGGAATTATAATAATGCTAAAGTTGTTTGCAGGCAATTAGGATATTATGATACTTGTAAGTATAATATTATATCATCTATTGTATGTGATCTATTGTAGGGTCTGTTGCAATTACTGATACTAACTGGAGTGGTAAGAATGAAAGAGTTGGTTATAGATATGTGTGTACTGGAACTGAGAATAAACTAAGTAGCTGTTCAAAATACTCACCTTCATCATATGCAAATTATTGGTTTAATCAGAAACGAGGTGGAGTAGATTGTCAATACAATGACACTGGAAGTACAGAAATTTATTGTTAGTATTTGAAATTTAATGTAATTAAACAGATATTTGTGACAAAGAAG